CAGTGACAGTAAAAAGAAACATCACTTGGCAAGGATGAATGACACAAGAGCAAGGTCATACCTGAAGCCATTATAGAGAGTGCCATTATTTTCTCTTTCAAAGTGAAGCAGGTTTTATTGCAGTGTTTCTTCTTCTTCTTCTTCTTCTTCTTCTTCTTCTTCTTCTTCTTCTTCAACTTTCGTTTTTTTTCTTCTTCTTCTGCTTCTTCCTGTTTTTTTTTTTCTTTTTGTTTCTTCTTCCTGTTCTTCTTCATTTTTTTTTCTTATTATTCTTTTGCTTCTTCATCTTTTTCGTCTTCGGTCATCATCTTCGTGTTCTTTTCTTACTTCTTCTTCTTCTCTTTCTTTATCTCCTTCTTCGTCTCCTTCTTCGCCTTCTGCTTCTGTAATTTCTCTTCTATTTTTCCTTCTCACTTCTATTTTCGTGTTCTATTTCCGCCTCGCTTTCTCTTCCTTTAGCTCTTTCTCCCTCTTTTTATCATCATTACCACCATCTTCTTTTTCCTTCTTCCAATTCACTTTCTTTCAGCTTCCTTTTTTCGTTTCAATTTCGCCTTCCTCCTCCTTCTCCTCTTCCTCCCGAATACTATAGTGATGCAATATTTATTAGGAGTCGTATGCGATTAGGATACGGACGTAGCGGACATAATTAGAATAGTCCGACGAATGATCATTTTTCACTCCTAATAATACTATAATAAGTTGGTTCCCCTCTAAGCATATCCCCCTCATTATCGACCCCTACTCCTCCCCCGCCTTCCTCTTCCCCCTATCCTCTTTTTCCTCCTCTTTATCTCCATCCCTACTTTCTTCCCCCCCCATACTTCACACGCGTGCGAGCACCACGCGCATTAACAAGAAAACACCCCCCCCCCTCACCCCTCAAAAAAAAAAAATTATATATATATAGGACATAATAACCATCCCCTTTTCCTTAACTAAAAAAAAAAAAAGGAATGGTAAAAAAGAAGGAAAAAAAAAGGAGGAAAGGAAAAAAAAGGAAGAAAAGGAAAGGAAAAAAAAGGAAAAAAACAGGAAAAAAAAAAAAAAAAAAAAAAAAACAAAAAAAAAAAAAAAAAAAAGGAAACAAGGGAAAACAAAAAACAAAAGAAAAAAAAGGCAAAAAAAAAAAAAAAAAAAAAAAAAACAAAAAAAAAGAAAAAAAAAAGAAAAAAAAAAAAAAAAAAAAAAGACAAGAAAAAAAAAAAAAAAAAAAAAGAAAAAAAAAAAAAAAAAAAGAAAAGTAAGGAGAAGAAAGGAAGAAGAAAAAAAGAAGTAAAGAAGAGAAAGAGGAAAAAGACAGAAAGCTAAAGAAAGATTACGTACGGAAGAAGAGAAAGAGAAAAAAAAAGGGTAAGAGAATAAAAGAAGAGGACGAAGAGAAATAAGAAAAAAAAAAAGACATAAGATTGAAGAAAGAAAAATAATAGTAAAAGTGAATGAGAAAGAGAAAAAAAGAAGAAGACTAAGAGTGAAGAACGCGTAAAAGTACGCAAAAAAAAGAAAAAGAAGGAATAAGTCATAAGAAGAGTAATAAGCTAACAGCGAAAAACCCATGATTAAGACTATAGCGAAGAAGGCAAGCAATAAAAAGAAGCCCGTAACCCATAGCACTATACCAAATGATTCTGCCCACCTCTCCTCAGACCGCCCTGCCGGGCATACCTCTCACGCTACCCCATCCTCCCTACGCCTCCTCGTCCTCGATCCATCTCCCCCCCACTAGGCATTTCCTGCCTTATCATCCTCGGTCCTCATCTCCACCCGTATCCATCTCTCTGATACCCTCCCTATTGATACATGATGGTCACTAAGTCGACCTCTGCCCCACGTCCTCCTCCTCCGAACCTCATGCACATCACGTCCTCCTATACACAATCCACACTACCTCATGCCGCCTCACCACATGACCCTCCCCATCGTCCTCGCCTGTCAGCACTCATCCCCCCAGCCGTCATACTATACTCTCACCATCCTCCTTCATTAATCCTACCTACTAGTCATCCCTCCCCTCTCCAACACCTCCTCACACGGACACCTCCCTCCTTCCCTCCGTCCCCTCCTCCCTCTCCCCTCCTCTCCTCCTCCCTCCTCCTCACTCTCCCTCTCCCCCTCTCCTCCTCCTCCTCCTCCTCGTCCTCCTCTCCCTCTCCCCCTCCTCCTCCTCCTCCTCGTCCTCCTCTCCCTCTCCCCCCCCTCTTCCTCCTCCTCCTCCCCCTCGTCCTCCTCTCCCTCTCCCCCCCCCTCCTCCTCCTCCTCCTCCTCGCCCTCCTCTCCCTTTGGCCCTCCTCCTCCTCCTCGTCTTCCTCTCCCTCTCCCCCTCCTCCTTCTCCTCCTCCTCCTCCTCGCCCTCCTCTCCCTTTGGCCCTCCTCCTCCTCCTCCTATCTACCTACCCGGCCCGCGTTATGATGGAAGCGTGTGTGCTCGTATGTGTCCCTCCTTGCCTCACTGCACATATCACGGTGGAGGAGAAGAGGAACGAGGGGGAGAGGAGAGAGGGGAGAAAAGAGAGGGGAGAGGGAAGTAAGGGACGAGGGGAGAGGAGAGGGGGGAGGGGGGAGAGGGAACTAAGGGATGAGGGGAAAAGGGAGAGGAGAGGGAGGTAAGGGGAGAGAGGGGAGAGGAGAAGAAGAGGAAAGGAGAATTGGAAAGAGGGAAAGGGGGAGGGAAAAAGAGAGAGGAAGGAGAAGAGAAGGGAGAGGGGTGAGGGGAAGAGAGAGGTTGGAGAAGAGAAAGAAGAGGGGAAAGGAAAGGAGAGGGAAGTGAGGGGCGAAGAGAGAGGGCTGAGGGGAAAAGAGAAAAGAAGAAGAGGAGTAGAAAAATAACGTATTCATATTGACAAATGTAGAAAAGGTATGAATAAGAATGAATATCTTCACAATACAAGAGATGCATATTACCGGTTTCGTATATATTTTCGTCTGTAATACAAGGAAGAGGAGAGGGAGGGAGAGGAGAGGGAGGGAGAGGAGAGGGAGGGAGAGGAGAGGGAGGGAGAGCAGAGCGAGGGAGAGGAGAGGGAGGGAGAGGAGAAGGAGTGAGAGGAGAGTGAGGGAGAGGAGAGGGAGGGAGAGGAGAAGGAGTGAGAGGAGAGGAGGGAGAGGAGAGGGGGAGAGGGAGGGAGAGGAGAGGGAGGGAGAGGAGAGGGAGGGAGAGGAGAGGGAGGGAGAGGAGAGTGAGGGAGAGGAGAGTGAGGGAGAGAGAGGAGGAGAGGGAGGGAGAGGAAAGTGAGGGAGAGGAGAGGGAGGGAGAGGAGAGTGAGGGAGAGGAGAAGGAGTGAGAGGAGAGGGAGGGAGAGGAGAGGGAGGGAGAGGAGAGGGAGGGAGAGGAGAGTGAGGGAGAGGAGAGGGAGGGAGAGGAGAGGGAGGGAGAGGGAAGTGAGGGAGAGGAGAGGGAGGGAGAGGAGAGTGAGGGAGAGGAGAAGGAGTGAGAGGAGAGGGAGGGAGAGGAGAGGGAGGGAGAGGAGAAGGAGTGAGAGGAGAGGGAGGGAGAGGAGAGTGAGGGAGAGGAGAGGGAGGGAGAGGAGAGGGAGGGAGAGGAGAGTGAGGGAGAGGAGAGGGAGGGAGAGGAGAGTGAGGGAGAGGAGAGGGAGGGAGAGGAGAGTGAGAGAGAGGAGAGGAAGGAGAGGAGGAGGAGTGAGAGGAGAGGGAGGGAGAGGAGAGGGAGGGAGAGGAGAGTGAGGGAGAGGAGAGTGAGGGAGAGGAGAGGGAGGGAGAGGAGAGGGAGGGAGGGGAGAGGGAGGGAGAGGAGAATGAGTGAGAGGAGAGGGAGGGAGAGGAGAGGGAAGGAGAGGAGAAGGAGTGAGAGGAGAGGGAGGGAGAGGAGAGGGAGGAGAGAAGAAGGAGTGAGAGGAGAGGGAGGGAGAGGAGAGTGAGGGAGAGGAGAGGGAGGGAGAGGAGAGGGAGGGAGAGGAGAGGGAGGGAGAGGAGAGGGAGGGAGAGGAGAGGGAGGGAGAGGAGAGGGAGGGAGAGGAGAGTGAGGGAGAGGGAAGTGAGGGAGAGGAGAGGGAGGGAGAGGGGAGGGAGGGAGAGGAGAGGGAGGGAGAGGAGAGGGAGGGAGAGGAGAGGGAGGGAGAGGAGAGGGAGGGAGAGGAGAAGGAGTGAGAGGAGAGGGAGGGAGAGAAGAAGGAGTGAGAGGAGAGGGAGGGAGAGGAGAGTGAGGGAGAGGAGAAGGAGTGAGAGGAGAGGGAGGGAGAGGAGAGTGAGGGAGAGGAGAGGGAGGGAGAGGAGAGGGAGGGAGAGGAGAGGGAGGGAGAGGAGAGGGAGGGAGAGGAGAGGGAGGGAGAGGAGAGTGAGGGAGAGGAGAGGGAGGGAGAGGAGAGGGAGGGAGAGGAGAGTGAGGGAGAGGAGAGGGAGGGAGAGGAGAGTGAGAGAGAGGAGAGGAAGGGAGAGGAGGAGGAGTGAGAGGAGAGGGAGGGAGAGGAGAGGGAGGGAGAGGAGAGGGAAGGAGAGGAGAAGGAGTGACAGGAGAGGGAGGGAGAGGAGAGGGAGGGAGAGGAGAAGGAGTGAGAGGAGAGGGAGGGAGAGAAGAAGGAGTGAGAGGAGAGGGAGGGAGAGGAGAGTGAGGGAGAGGAGAAGGAGTGAGAGGAGAGGGAGGGAGAGAAGAAGGAGTGAGAGGAGAGGGAGGGAGAGGAGAGTGAGGGAGAGGAGAGTGAGGGAGAGGAGAAGGAGTGAGAGGAGAGGGAGGGAGAGGAGAGGGAGGGAGAGGAAAGTGAGGGAGAGGAGAGGGAGGGAGAGGAGAGTGAGGGAGAGGAGAAGGAGTGAGAGGAGAGGGAGGGAGAGGAGAGGGAGGGAGAGGAGAGTGAGTGAGAGGAGAGGGAGGGAGGGGAGAGGGAGGGAGAGGAGAGGGAGGGAGAGGAGAGGGAGGGAGAGGAGAGTGAGGGAGAGGAGAGGGAGGGAGGGGAGAGGGAGGGAGAGGAGAGGGAGGGAGAGGAGAGGGAGGGAGAGGAGAGGGAAGTGAGAGGAGAGGGAGGGAGAGGAGAGGGAGGGAGAGGAGAGGG